ATCAAGCTTCTAAATCTAACTTGAAGTTTCTAAAAGACACAGGGAATGGAAATCCAACTAAATGACACTATGAGAAAAAACAATAGAAAGCAAGGGACATTCTATATGATACCTGGTGTGGACTCTTCTAAGAGTCAAGGATACTTAAAGAAACAATTTTTTAAAGATGGGATAGAGAGGGGCTGGGAATGTGGCTCAAGCTGTGGCGAGTTTGCCTGGCATGCACGGGGCACTGGGTTCGATCCTCAGCACCACATACAAATAAAATAAAGATGTTGTGTCCACCAAAAACTAAAAAGTAAATATTTAAAAATTCTCTCTCTCTCTCTCTCTCTCTCTCTCTCTCTCTCTCTCTCTCTTAAAAAAAAAGATGGGATAAAGATACTATAGACAAAAAGATACTAAGAGGATACCATAACCAAGTACAATGCATAAATTTTGACTAGGTCTTTGGGTAAAATAGGGAAATTTGAATAAAGATTAACATTAGATGGTGGTATGGAATTAATGTTAATTTAATTAGATCTAGCAATTTTACTGGGGTTGTACAGAAGAACTTCCATCTTAAGAGATGAGTGCTGAGCACTTGCAGTACAATATGATATTTGCAACTGAAGTTCAAATGTTTCAGCCAGAGATAAAGGAAAGGACAGAAAGCAAATATGGTAAAATATTAGGTACAATTGTTTGATTAAAGTGTAGGTCCTTGGGACATTTATGTATCATTTCCTCAGGTTTTCTGTATTCGGGAAATTTTTAAAAATGAAAATTGGGTGAAAATAATGTATGTTGACTATTAAATTGTTTCGATGAGCCATCACTTGTATTTCGMATTTTCTTAACTAAACTAAGGAAGTGTTTGTGTTCCCCAAGTAGAAATCAAGATTTCAGGATACCCCCGTGAGAGGGCATATGAGAGTGACAGTGTTCCAGCCATAAATTACATTTTCACATGAAACACCTCTATTTAGACACTTTGGAAGTTGAAAACACAAAATGTATGGGTGTATGCCATTTTTTTTTGCACCATTACAAACACAGGTGAAGCCCAGGCAAATTCTCATGGTGAACATGCATCATCTGGCATCCAGACAGATATCAAAAGGTGTGGGAGGCCAAGTCAAACGGAAAGTACTTAAGAGACAACTGGTAGCTGCAGACATGAGCTGTGTTTGCTTCAGCCTTGGTAAGGACCCCCGTGTCATCTGAGAGCAACATTTGTGCAGGTAAGATTACGTTCTTTGGTCCTTCCGAAGAATATACTAGGTGGTTGTGTAGAACTAATCTGTGCCCCTGTTTAGAATTTATACTAATGATTTCGTGTAAATCTTTTTATATGGTTTTGTATATAAATTCTAAACAGGGGCATGAATTGGTTCTATTGTTATATCCAATGTCTCATTATTCTTGTTTTCTGATTGTTTTTTGTTTGTCTTTTATGGCTTTTGTCAGGTTGAGAGGAATGTTGGGATGAGAGAACAAGAGCAGTTGAGGAATGGTGCTTGCTTATACCCGTGTACCACCAGGAGAGAGCCTCTATTTGGCTTTGTACTGTGCCAGTGTGCAGACAAACAAGCGCCTATATTTGGTCTCTCAGCAGATTCCTACAATTACTAATAGCTAACATGGAGAATAAGACTTGGATTAACTCCCATGAAAACCTCTCTCCCAACCCTTCTTAACAGTTTCATAGCTGAGGCACAATCCTGAACACCASGCCTTGGTGTTGAATATCTTTATGGATGATTACTGCAAATTCAATGACAGTATCAAAGAGTCTCTTGTGCAAGTGATACAAGCTAATGTTTGCACAGAAGTTTGGAATTTACAAAATACTTTTTTTACATTTGTTATTTCACTCTGTGTGGCATTCCTGGGAGATGGATATGGTACTCACTTCACAGATAGATATATATGTGTATACACACACACACACGGCTTAGAAGGGCAATATGTACCCAAATTGTTCTACTAGTAGGTTGCAGAGCCAGCCGTGAGTCCATGCCTCCAAAGTTGAATCCTGCTCATTGCAGGTATCCAGCTACAACACTTGTATAGAAATGGTACTGATCTTTACTCCATTCTCAGCCAATCCTTTAACCCAAAGCACACAGTACAATGCCTGAAAAAAAAAAAAAAACATGAAAGAAGATCCCGTGATTCAAAGCCCAGTGTACTAAAAGTTACTTAGGAAAGTTACATGTGTAATGGTCAAAGGATGAACAGTTGTGAAATTCTCCAGTCTGGGCTCCAGTCCCACTTCTACTTAGGAATGGTGCAATCCTTGGCGAGTTCCATCCCCAAGTGAGTCTCTTTCTTGCCCCACAGGGCTATTTTAAGGATTGAATAAAAATAAGGCAAAAACATACACACACACAGTGTCATTTATGACTTGGTAAATATTTGCTTATCATTATGCTTCGAGATTTTTTTTTCTGTCTGCCTGGTCACCCCAGTTGCCCAAGCATTCATCTGAAAGCAATCATCGTTTCTGGCCAGCACTTCCTATATCACATGTACTTTTTTCCTTTGTTTCAAAATTGAGTGCTTTCAGTGGTCTGAAAAAGGTACTCCCTTGGTTCTGTAATCATTTAAACAATGAATGACTGGGAAAATGTCAAAACTCTTTTCCTCTTTAGCTGGTGGGTGGCACAAGTCTATAATCCCAGTGGCTAGGGAAGCTGAGGCAGGAGGATCCAGAGTTTAAAGCCAGCCTCAGCAACATAGTGAGACCTTAAGCAACTTAKCGAGATCCGGTCTCAAAATATAAAAAGGGCTAGAGATGTGACTCAGTGGTTTAAATGCCCTGGATTCAATCCTAGGTATAAATAAAAAATATCTTGTCCTCCAGGTGGTCCATAAGAATAACAAAATATTGCTGAAACTTAACAATTTAACAACTTTCATAACAAGGTACATGAATGACTTTCAAGATAAAGCACATCATCTACCTTGATAACAAACTGTACCATTCAGAAAAGATAGGAGAAAAAAATTTCAATTTTCATGTGTCCTTCAYATAAAAAGACTCACACTGCCTTCTCCACCACTCCTTTATTTATGTTAAGTAGATGATAAGATATGGTTTCCTCTCATCAGTGAAATACACTATAGGTTGCTTCAAGATTATTTATGCTTGAGACAGAGAAGTCTATATAAGCTTGGAGAAGGCAGTGAATTTTCTATTACTTGATCTCTCTCTCCATTGGAAATGTATAATCTGCATTAATTTAGCAAACATTAAGGTCAGTGAAAGTTCCTAAAATTTCCCCACAATAATATCTTTAAGAATATAGTTAATATTCTTAGTAAACCCAAATGTGTAAATAAGAGAGATTTGTAATACCTTTTTCTTTCTCACTTGAAGRTAGTCTTCTAGATAAATCTCAAATACTATGCTCTCTGCCACTTTTTCTTTACTGGACGGTTTAGAATCAGACTCAGTGTCATAGAACCCCTGGACAAAAAGCCCATTGTTGAGACCCTACCTTATACCACTTACCCATGCTGTCGCCCTGAATTGACTTGACAGTCTCTCAGACTCTGTCTTCCTCAAGGGCAAGGACTATAACTTAGCATCTTGAAAACTCAACATCAAATGTTCTAAACCCAACTTGTAGGGATTTTTCCTTCACTTCTGAAACCMACATAATTATTTGCAGAGAGGCCTTAGAAACAATGCTTGTTTTCTCTTATCTAAGTGGAAATTTCTGGCAGGTCAGGGTTCACAGCAAGATGATATAACAACCTGGGTCTCTTGGCATACTCAGGTCCCAGAGATACCTCAGAGTTAATCCCTGACCAACTTAAAATGAAATAGAAGATGTACAAAAAGATTTTTTTTTTTTTACAAACCTGATTTTTGTTGGGGTTGGGGGGGGTCATGTGCTAACCTGTTTAGTTTCTTAGTGACCGCTCTCTCAACTGTAAAGCAGGGCAGCCCCTGTGACAGTTAAATGACAGTGCATGCTGAGTCCTTAGAATTTGCCTGATATATGGAAAGAGTTCCACAGCAGTGATAGTGATGGTCTTTTTACCATTATCGTGATTATCATCATGGTGGTGGGTGGTGGTGGTGATTTCCTCAAATGGCTCTGGTTTGTTTGAATAAGGATTTTGTTCATGCCGGTGCCTAATTTCTACATAAAAGGATGGGTTTACTAAKAATATTAAGTATGGTGTAAGGATGGTGAGTGAATATAACAGATTATGATTACCAAACAAGGAATTGTCACAAAATATTAAAAAATTCTCTTTAAAGGAAAAAAAAAGTGGCTCTGGGAAAAAGGACACATTAGCTCCAAGAAAAGCCTAATCTAATGGTAAAGACCTGGACTACAATTCGGGAGACCTGGGTCCTGGATCCCCATATTGCCTGTTTTATTAGTTAGCTGTGTATACATGAATAAAGATGCCCAGTATTTGTTGTTGTAGTGCCCTCACTATAAAATTGCAATAATTATAATTATTATTGTGGGCTGTCTCTCACAAAGAGGCATTATGGTGAGCAAATAAAAACGGGTAATGGTTTTATTTGTATTRTAATATTACTTATATGTGTTATCAATGCCCAATGAAAAAACAAATCTCTGTTAGACATAAGATCATAAACTGTGTTCATATAATAGAAAAATGCCTGGAGTATTGGTTTACTTGTCCCATAAGTCTGGATGAGTCAAGACACAAAGATGTTATGTCCCTAACTATAAACCTGCTCTAGCAATCTGTGGCCCACCTATCCGTCAAATTATATTATGTGTAAAGTACCCTAAAAATCTGGAATTTTCTTACTATCATAAAATAATCTCATAATGATTGCTTATATAACAAAAATTCAACAATTTTGGCAACTGATGCTAAAACAACAGGTCAAAAGTATGGTGGTCAAAGGTAAATTCCCTTGCTCTGATTAATTCATATGCACTGCAGTTGCTGTAATGTCATGAATTTATCAACTCCCTTTTTCCTTATCAGGACATCATTGTCTTCAGTCATTCAACATGAGTACGATGCTAGACACCGCCATTTTTCTGGGGAAATTTCTGTATTACTTTTTAGAATCTGTAGCTTTCAAGATAATTCCCAGAAAAAAAAAGGATGTTGCTGGTGAGATTGTACTTATAACAGGAGCTGGAAGTGGACTTGGGAGGCTCTTAGCCCTACATTTTGCCCGCACCGGGGCCATTTTAGTACTCTGGGACATTAATCAAGAGAGCAATATGGAAACCCGTAGACTGGCCAAAGAAAAGAGTGGTGTGAAAGTCTTTGCCTATAAATGTGACTGTAGCAACAGGCAAGAGGTCTACAGCGTCGCTGATCAGGTAAGCTGACWGGTGTTCTTTGCTTTGATGCTCAAGAATATTGCATCTACTGTGCACTTTTTACAAAGACAGGATGAAAGTCTTTTGTCATATGCTTCCCCCCACAATCTATATGTGTCTCCAACTTGCTTCTGCATGTCAGAAGTCTGGCTGTATGACCTCCAAAAATAAGCAGAGCATACAAAACTGCAAGTGGAAACTTGAGCAGCCTTCAGAGCCCAATGTTGCCAGACTGCTTTGCTCAGTGACTCACTATCAGGAGTCAGTAGAAACTGTGCACTCTCCTGGCTTGCTACTCATTGCTTGTGCAATATTTACAAAGTTATTCTCCCTTTCTACATCCTTGTTTCTTTATCTGTAAAACAAAAGGACGGAACCAGATGAAATTCAAGATGATGTCCAGTTTTAACTTTCTATGTTTTATGATTCTGATGCCACTTAGATTCCATTCCATCAACTTGATGATTCCATTATCATCAAGTTCTGAAAATATATATAACATGGAACATAAGGTAAAAGCATACTGGTAGACCAAGTTTCCTGTTAGACATGACCTATTGACATTTGTTCTAACTTCTTACTGAATATTAATAAATAATAATAGCTAAGATTGATTATATAGTTATATAGTACTTTTAAAACAATGGTATTGCTTTCCTGAGTGTTTTAACCATGAGATAAGGTGTTAGGCAACTGATGCAAATCAAGAGAGAGGAATAGGATAGAGTTCTACAGTTTTGTTAAACTCACAGTTCCCTGGGGAAAACAGCACAGCATACAGAGCCACTGAAGGAAGACTGGATTGGCGGGGGTGTGGGTTATGAGACAGAGGGAGAGTGGGGACTACAGGCACATGCCTTTATTGTGGTTTCCAGGGGAAAGAACAGGCAATGCAGGGCAAACAGGTTTAAGATTGGCTAATTTTAATAATTTCAAGAGGCTCTAAGGCATAGGAGTTATCCTTATTTTCTGGTTGCTGGCCCTGGGATGATTGGGGTGTGTATATAATCTCCCAGAGTTTGAGACTCCAATAAAGGGAAGTGATGAATATGTGGACTTAATTGCCTGCTCTTGAAGGAAAAACCAATCAGCCTCTAGCCAAGGCCACAAAACTGGGTTAAGACAGCCCAAAAAAATCATAAACAAGCAAAACAAAACAAATAGCAGCCGCACTAAATGCATTACAAACAGCAATTTATGCACATAATAACTCAATCAGCACATGGCAACCTACTTAGGTACCTATCATGATTATCATCACATGAACAAATGAGKAAGCTTCAAGGGACTGAGTGACTATGCAACATCCCAAGAGTATGAAATTAGCTACTGGCAGAGCCCAYGGTGTAACTCAGGCAGTACAGAGCTAAAGTGCACACAATGTGATAAGAGAATCCCCAAGGGATCATCCTTCCCTTTGGCAATCTAAGTGCTACTTTGTAATTCATTTATCAATTCATTCAATGAGATTGATCCAATCATTTYATGTGCATGTAAAAATATGGTATAATGAATTCCAGTATTATCTGTAATTATAACTGGCCAATAAAAATTCTTTAAAAATGGCGAAACAAATAATGAAATCACTACTCTGTGACATTGACCTTATGAAGCCCCCTTCATTCTTCACTTTCTATTACTTTCTTCTTTTTGAGGGAGGGGGTTCCCACATGAAGCTGTTCTTYATAACTCATTTCCAGCTAGTAAAAATAAGTGTGTTATTGCTCCCTATATGTATTTTACTATGGAGCAAGAAAAATTGAAGTCAGTCCTCGTTTTACAAAAAGGGAAAGAAATGTGACAGTAAAAGTTCCCATATAAACATCCTTGGGGTGAGCTCAAGGATAAAGTCTGCTTGGCAGGGACTCCCTTCCCAATACCATGTACTAGCCAGACTAAAAGCCTTGAAAAAATCTTTTCTCCTGAATCATATCCTACATAATCTTCACAATGAATAGATACTACTACTACTTTCTCCATTTGACCAGTGATGAAATAGAGGCAAAGAGAGTTTAAGGATCTAAACTAGGTCATAAGGAGATAAAGTGACAGAGCTGAAGTGTGGCCCCATCTTCCTAACATCAGGGCCCATGTTATATCCCCTCCAGGTAATCAACAAATACATGAGAAAAAAATGAGCCCCTCATAATCTTTTCCTGATTCTCAAAAGTATGATAAYCTCTACCCTCTCTGTCTCCCAACAAACCTTTCTTTTCTTGATACCTAGTAKAAAACCCACCTAAAGCCTTTAATCAAAAATTATTTGTCGTCATGGGAACATATCTGAAATTTTTCTTTTTTCCCATGATYCTATAAATAGTATTTTTCTAAGTCAACTACTTATCAATTACTGATCAACTCCCAAGAAGTCCAGATGCTAAGTATTAAACTTTACCTGCAACAGTTGCAACAAACAGCATGCATTACCCAAATCCTTGAAATTTGTGGGAGACTTAAAAAAYAATGACAGGAGGCAGGCATGGTGGCAYACCCTTATAATCCCGGTGGCATGGGAGGCTGAGTTTCAAGGCCAGCCTCAGCAACTTACCAAGGCCCTAAGCAACTTAGCAAGACCCTGTCTCAAAATAAAATATTCTTTAAAAAAGCAATCACAGGATTCTCAAGTGGCATAGAAATTAACACTTCAAAATTAGATTGAGCTATCCTCCTTGTCTCCAACATAGGGAAACAATATACAAATAAATTGCTKCGGTTAAAACAATCAGCTTCACAATTTATTCCCAGATTTCCAGGTCTAATCATTAATATTCATTTTTTACATGCATGAGGTTTGTTACGGCAATAATTTTGGCTATTTAAAGAGTAGTAAATTTGGGTGAAAACAACTTCTATGTGTGAATCGAAATTGGATGTGAATCTTTGTTCCTCTCAAAAGCTGTGAATCACTTGACATGAACCTTAATTTCTCAGAACCTCTGTTTCCTCATCCATAAGCCAGGATAATAATGCCGTCCTAAACTGCCTCTCAGAATACAGGGAAAATTAAATCCCCGGATCTAAGTAAAATTCCTCTGGTGCCCCTAAGACTCAGGGCTTCAATTCGGATTGCATAATAGTGACCACTATGTCTTTCTTAATTTTTAATTAATTAATTAGATAATTAATTAATTTATTTGGGAATTGTTTTTTGTGCCAGAGATTCTCTCTCTTTGTCTCTTGACAACTTAGACACCCTTCTCATTGGTCTAGGATTGAGCTTTTATGCACACTGATTCATTCACCAAGACAATAGGATGGCCTTCTTTAAAAGTTACCCTCTTGGGGATGTTTTCCTTAGTCCTACCTCTCTCCAAAGCAGAAGAGCCAGACCAACATCATTTCAGCAATATTAACTTTCCCTTTCATAGCTTACTCCACTCAATGTCATCAGCAGMAATAGTTACCTTATCTCTCCCAAGCATATTATATAACAAATAGCAGCAGTGCCTGGACCCCTTAGAAAATAACGTCAGGGCAGGAAATGCTGCYTCATTGAAAATAAAGGAACAGATTGTCATATCTGCCATAATATTCAATTCAGAAGGAAAAAAAGGCTTCAAAGTATTCAAACATGCTTTGAATTCAAAAAACAGATTTTGCCCCAGATCAGCTTTAGTAATGTCACCTACGAAGTCATAATTTCAGAAAAAAATGATGAGATAAAAACAATTCCTCCAGTGTTTCCTGGAGCATGCTTTTCTCCAAGTGGGGCTTGTGGTGCATTGTGAATTAAGCCAGCAGGGAAAATGGGGTCTCCAGGAGAGGAGGCTTGAGAATGCAAGAGGCACAATGGCAGCAGCCCAACTGTGGACCTGGGGAAAGTATCAGTAACAGATTATTAAGTAGATTTAAGTCAGTTCTTTGGAGAAAAGTGCACAGTATCACAGAAGTCCATGGATACTGGATCAAACACATCCATGTTTGGGATGTCTTCATTCCAAGCACTGGTCAGGCCTTAGGAGGATGGGATGTGCTCCTGCACCTGCTCATAAAGGGATTCGGGAAATGACACACACAGAAGCAATCATCAGACATCAGCCAGGCTGAGGAAAAAAAACTAATAAAAATCAGGGTTCTTTAAATAAATTTGTCAAATTAAAATATGATTTTTTAAAAAAATATAGTCAATCATAAAATTACTTTAAAATTGCTGAATTTCTTTATACAAGATAAAAATAAATATCTAGTTTCAAAGAAACTACACTCATGCATTGCTTAACCACAGGAGTATATCTTGGGAAATGCAATGTTAGGTGATTCCATCACTGTGCAATTATCAGAGAGTATATTTACACAAACTAGAAGAGCTACTGCATCACTAGACAGTATGATCTTGGGACCACCATTTTGTATATGGTCCATCATTGCCTGAAATGTCATTATGTGGTGTGCATGACTACTCACAAATAAAATGAAGAAAAATATTTTTTGGGGGGAATAAATATCAAAATGACCTTTACCACTTCAATTGATTTAATGTTTGTCTTGCTTCTGGCCAGGTTAAAAAAGAAGTTGGTGATGTGACCATCCTCATTAACAATGCGGGCGTTGTAACAGGGAAGCCCTTTTTGGATATTCCAGATCACATGCTGGAAAGATCATTTTATGTCAATGCCATCTCTCATTTCTGGGTAATTCTCCCCCCTCCCCCTTTTAATTTGCTTTTACGTGGTAAGTATGCATTTCTATAAACAACTGTTCATACATTTGTCTGTGAATATACCATTTAGGAGTTTTCCCCTCATAGACCCGTGGGGTCTCATCCTTAACAAATTTGACCCTGTTGCATTTAACTTGATTTTTCCTGGTCTTGCCCTATTTCAAATTTTCAGGGAAATTCCCTTCTCTCCACCCTCTCCAGTATGATCTCAAGACTGATTAGGTTGTTCAGAAATCTAATACCCTAAATGCGTATTGAAATGTGCATAGATCCAATTTGTCCATGAGTGAAAGAAGAGCTCATGAAAGGAGAAGAGGGATGTTTTTAGAGTGGTGGTTTAGGTACATGGAAAACTGTTTATGAGAACAAAGGTAATGAAGGCAAGAGGAATAACATTTATTGTGCACTTACTGTCTACCAAGCACCATTCTAAATTCTTTAACTTCATGTTCAGCCATGACACCATTTTCATTCTCATTTTACAAATAAGGAAACTGAGGCCCAAAGAGTGGAAMTGAATTCCTCAAGTGGTAGTTGGTAGCTGAAGCTTGCCAGAGGAAGGAGTGAGAGGAAGGAAAGTTTCTTTACAGAGGGAAATTAGTGCATTGTTAACTCAGGACCATCTTCCCTGAGGCCTGGAGTAACTGAACAGCACTGTCCAGAAGCACTGTCTTTGACAATGGAAGTGTTCTTCATCTTCCCAGTTGGGTAACCACTCCTCACCTAYGGCTACTGAGCACTTGAAATGTGATTGATGGAAACTGAGGGRCTAATCTTTTAGCTCTTTGTCATTTAATTCATGTAAATGCATATTTAAGTAGACACGGATGCCGAGAGGCTATTTAATGCTTTGGAGAGTGCAGCCTAGAGAATAGGTAAGAGGACAAAGGTGGCTGGAATTACCAGAGGTGTTAATGCTGTGATGGGGGAAAAAAAATCCAGGAAGCAGGATTGGATGAAGAATGCAGGAGGTATGGGGGATAGAAACCAGGGCCTTAGAAGACATGAGGATTAGTGGGGAAAGTCCTCTGCTCTCTGAGTATAGGATTTTGGAATGGGTTTGCTTTGAGCGTCCACTGGTTCCTCCCTTTTTCCACTCCACATTTTTATATACTCTCCACAGGCCTTACAACTATTTCTTTAATCTTCTTTCTTAGTCACCAGGAAGCCAATGAGAGTCCAGCAATTGATTTTTACTAATATTAATTCAGCACCTAACAAAGTGCTGGACATATAAAGGGTTCCCCATAAATATTTGTGAAAATCTTTGATTTGCCTCCCTGTACCATACTATCTCAGAACTTTATTTTGGAAGAGAAAAATGCCCTGTGGTTAAATGGAGTCAGTCGATCCTAAACAATTCACATAATCTAAAAATCATCTTTGATTCTTCCCCTTTCCTGGAATACCTACATCTTTGGCTATTCCTGCAAAATGTACTCAAGTGAACTTCTCTCCATTCCTGCCACCTTGATTCAAGCTCTCCTTCTCCGTCACCAACAGATTTTCATGGCCTTTCRACTTCAATAGAGATGCTATCTAACCAATCTTCATATGAGAGAGAGGTGATCTTTTCAATGCATTCATAAAATCATTTCACTTCCTTACTAAAWAACATTCCATGTTTCCAAACATGCTTAGAATAACAAGTACCTGTCATGATCTGGGTGCCCTGTCAAGAAGTGGCAATATCCTCCCCTGTCTCCCATCCCTCATACYCTCTACTTTCTGCTCACTTTCTATAGTCCAAAAGTCCTAATTAAACCCCAGGGCATGTCCAATTCTGTCTCACCTGAGGGTTTTTCACAAGCCATACTCTCTCTAACATAAGTACTCTTCCTCCTGACTCAAATAGGAGCTCCTTCACATTCTTCCGGCCTCTCGTAGTCACTGATCATGTACTTTTATATCATGTGCAGGTTCTGTTATTTGCTTTGAATCATTTACATAGTTAACAGTATAAGGTGTCAACAAATACACATAAGCCTTCTCGGAGAAGGCAAATTAAGAGAGATGATATGAGGAACCACAAAAATCAAGGAAACAACTTCCATCTGAAGTTATGAAAGGAATCTTCAGACATTTGCAAAATTTGTGATATTTAAAAAATATTTCTACTGTTCTTATTAGCTCACCTATTCCAAAGTGAGGAACCCAAAATTTAGCTCTACCAGGTTTTGCCTSTAGTACTGCTAGTAAGAGGTTTACTTTTTTTCTTAACATCCCTCAAACCCACCAAGGTTCCTGGCCTGCCAGGAAATGATCTCTTTTATAAGTTCGGGTGAAGACCTATGGGCCACAGAGCAGGTATCTGTCCAGATTCCTGGAAGCTACYGTGGTAGGCTTTGGCTCCACAAACTATGAACATAAATGAAATTTATTCCTAATATGGCACACCTATGCACTGGTTGCATTATCAAGCTTTTCAATTATATCCTAACAAAAAGCAGGCCAGACTCTTCCTGACCATACATAAATAGGTCCATCATTATAAAAGATGAAGAATCTCAGTGACAGTAATTGTAACAGCATCTGCCTATTGTTTTAAGGAGGTTTTTGGACAAAGGTAATGAATATCTTTCAAGTTATCTTTGAAATGGTTCTATTGTCTATAGATACAATATATCTTAGTGAGGTTACACAAGGTCAAATTTCATTCATATGCTATTCTAAGTTTAATCCATCTTGACAACATTCCCCTGAATTCCAACTATGAGATCATTCTTACATTCTTCTGATGATTCAATCAGCTCATAAATCTAAACTAAGATTCCCCAGGAGAGATGGCTGTCAATTGTATTAAATACAATTCAAAAAAAGTTTCAATCCAGTTTGCATAAGTATAGCTTCCTAAATAGAGAATTAGAAAATAGATCAAGAAGAAAGACAAAGTACTTGTCTTTCTTCTTGATGTGCCCATCAGAAAACAACACAGACCACATCACATGTCTCTTGTTGATTCCACAATCCTGCCTTATACAGTTTTCCCTCCATAGCCACAGATTCAATCAGCTATACACTGAAAGTATCAAGAAAGAAAATTTCATTTGCACTGAACATATGTAGATTTTTATTCCTGTCATCATTCCCACAACAATACAGCATAATTGCAATTTACATAGCATCTACATTGTTTTAGTGTCATAAGTCATTCAGGGATGGCTTAAGGGATACGAGGTTAATAGAGATTATATGTAAATAMTATACTATTTTTTATAAGGGACTCAAGTATCTCTGGATTTCAGTCTCCACGGGGGACCTGGAACCAATCATCCTTCAATACCAAGGGGCAACTGTATAATCAATCCTGTTCTGTCCAGTCCTGCTCACAGTATTTTTTTCATAGCCTTCTGGTTATGGACTAAACAGATTCCATGGATCAGATTCAAACCCTGCATGAGTGTATGGTTCTCCTCACAGTGACAATATCAGCTCACCCTGGGAAGTGTGTTCCAGTGAATCAACTCCCCAGCACAGTCTACACTGCAGTGTAGCTTTAGTGTCTTTCTGAACTGTGCTTTCACAAGGCAGTGTCTGGTAGCTTGTACGATGAGAAGCCTTCAGACATGATGGGAGGAGCTTTCCAGAGAATTCCTTTACTGATGATAAACCAAAATATAAGAAAGTAGAAACTGCTTTTAGGGTATATGATATAACTCTTTTATAAAGATTTGATCAATTATTACAATAAGAGCACAGACAAATCACCAGAGCCTAACTACCCATCTGGGCAAGTGTGTGGTCTTTGATGAAGCATATTTGTATTAACAAACTTACTAGGAAAAAAGACTGAGTTTCTCATTTGGATTTGACAGTTTTTTCCTCACACTTCCTCAGAGCAGGTCCTAAAATAAGGTTAAGCTAATTAAAAAATGTGGAGCCTTCCAAATATACCCCATTGTTTCCAACACCCATGCAGCTGCAAACTACCATGTCAAGAATATCAAACTAAGGGAACAAGTCTTGGTGCTTTGGTCACCCAAGAAGTGCCAAAAATGACTTTGAATGTAAAAGCATCTCTATAGTTGTATTTTATTTCATTGGTTCTAGGGATTGAACCCAGGCACTTTACCACTGAACCACATCACCAGACCTTTTTAACCCCCTTTTTAATTTAATTTAATTTAATTTTTAAATTTTGAGACAAGTTCTCGCTAAGTTGCTTAGGGCCTCACTAAGTTGCTGAGACAGACTCTGAACTCACAATGCTCTTGCCTCAGCCTCCCAAACTGCTGGGATTACAAGTGTGCACCACCACACCAGGCTGCAGTTATATTTTTTTTTAAATAAAAACATAACTGGGAGCCAGGCACAGTGGTACACATCTGTAGTATCAGCTGCTCAGGAGACTGAGGCAGGAGGACTGTTTGAGTCCAGGAGCTCAAGACTAGCCTGGGCCCTATAGTACGACCCAATCTCTAAATAAATAAATCAGTGAATAGCTGCAATTGACTACCTTAATAACCAGAGTGACAGTTATTTCATTTTGTTTTCAAGTGCACCTAAGAGCAGGTAACGGTATATTGACTAGGTGAATTCAGATCTTTCAAATTTTATTTATCTGATTTAACAATTCAAAAGCATAACAAAATCAAGTCAGGGCACAAGTGCTCCAGTAAGTATATTCTGACAAGATAATAATTCTATTATCTTTCACAGATAATTTATCTTTGAAGATCATGTAAAAGTAAAGAATGACCTTCTCATATTTCTTGTTTATAGCGGACTGAATACTACAGGACCAATTTTAAGTTACCAGGTCCCTCGCCTTTATTATAAATAAGTTTCTTTTGCTCATTAATTTTAATGGACATTTAAATAAATGTATGAACCTAAACATAGAAAAATATATAGATATCTCTGTAACAATATAATTTTTAGCTTTCAACAATAACTTTGTAATTAACTTTATCATCATATTAAAATATAAGATATATACAACAATGGACTTAGCCTCTCAATTGAAACTTTACAAGAATAAGTCATAATTGTGCTTGGTGACTTGATAATTACTCTCTATAAATTTTAACATCTTTTAAAATGTKATAGGTGACCAAATATTTCTCATGAATTTACCCAAATTAATARCCCCAAATCTTCTACTCATTAAAGTTGGCAAGGCAGAGCAACACCATCACTGGCAATATTATAAGGTTKTCAAAGAGATGAAACTGACAACTTATAAAAGACAACACATCTATGTCCAAATAATTTACATTCCCATCTGCAGTTCAAAAACATTATTTTTTATAGTAAAGTCATCATTTTTTTGTAATTCAATTTAACTGGATACATGTTTGCATTCTTCATAATCTGAAATGTTTTGTGGAAAGAGAGGTAACCTATCTGACCCACAAACCACTGTGAAAAAATGTAGGAAACTCATTCATTGGACTTCTTCTTGGAAAAATAAGAGTTTATTTAACTATAAATGCAATAAGATAAAATCAAGCACATCTGATGCTTGTTTGCATTATATACCATACATGATAAAATCAAGGAAAAGATATGTCTAAAAGATATGTCTGTTTATCAAACAAGTTTGATTTGTTCACACATTACCATGATTATAGAGAATGTGTAAACCTGGATCCATATATAATTGTCAATCAATTTCCCAGGTATTAAAAATACTTTACAAATGGCCAAATACAATCTTGACAATGAGTTGCTAACTCAACACTTATTCACATTCCTTTTTCTTCCCTCTAATGATAAAATCCATCTAGTGAGCAAAAATTATGGGTTTCTATGATCAGTTCATCTTCAAAATGTTCTTAAAAAAAGTTCTCCAGTGATATATAAAGCTACAAACATAAATAGGCTCTTACATAGTAACCYCCACTTAATCCACAATTTTGATTTCTACAATTTCAGTTACCTATGATCAATATTACATGAAAATTCCAGAAACAAACATTTCATAAGTTTCAGTTATGTGCTGTTCTGGGGAGCATGATGAAATCTCTCACCAAACCTCTTCATTCCATCATCAGATCAACTGTTGTGGTACCACAGTGCTTGTGTTCAAGAACTCTTCTGTTAGTTGATAATGGCCCTAAAGCACAACAGCAGTGCTGCTGGTAATTCAGATATGCTGAAGAGAAACCACAGAGTGCTTCTTTTAGATGGACAGGCGAAAATTGTTGATTTAATAAAGGAACTAAAAATCATATGCTGAGGTTGCTAATATCTACATTAAAATAATAATTAGTTCTTGCCATCTGTAGCTAGCCTAGGGTCCTAACTGATAAAACAGGATTTTTTAGTTTTTAATTTTTGAAAGACAAAGATGACATAGCCTCAAGAAACAGTTGTAAAAATTACTACTGTACTTGAACATGAAATATCAAAAGAGGCCAATTGTCTGCATCTAAGCAGAAATTCACCCATTAGTYCAGCAATTATAGAACAAAAGTAGTAAGACAAGAGAATTTCAAAAGCAAAGGTGCCATTCTTTGCTAGAGGTGGTTACTCTCTGTAAGTGAGCACATTTAGGCAGATTGTCCAAAACCATAAATGTGAAATCCTAGCACTACTAAAAGAAAAAATCTCAGAGGAATAGATGATGGGCACTATCAAACCTTGATTGAATGCATTTATGGGAGAATCAACAGACTAATACAGCTGACAAAATAATTATACAAAGAACTGGATTTATACTGTCCCAGGAAAAGGATCACTAAAATAAGATCATTTTAATAATCTTAGCTCTGGCATTATCTTACCCCTATCTCTGGCATTAACTTTTCTATGAGACCAAAAGAACATACCTATTAGTTTCCTACACACTAACCTCTAATTTTATTAGGTTGTCTGGGTTCTAATTTTACTAGTCAAAGTTGCATTGCCTCCCAAGAGATGGCCTTAGATAAGATTGTTAGAAAATGCTCCAGAATGCCGCTCTAGATGGTCTAGTATCTCTGCCTTATTTGAAAATTTTACATAATTATTTGTGAACAGAGTTTAGACTAAAGGATTCAATATTGGGGAAAGAAATAATGGAAATGTTTTCCTGAGAAAAACCTCTGAAGTTCAAGGATAAGAGAACTGAGATGTTTTCATGACACAGGGATTCGAAAATTGGCTCAATGTTTTACTTAATGATGAATGAATGAAGTTCACCAAAATCAGTAAAAATATATCTAAGACATAGAAGGCAATTCCAAAGCACATTACTTGACAGGATGTGTTTGTCTTTCATTGAAATTTGCCTTTTCTCAAGCAATTTCTCCATTCTTTCAATCTTTTGGGGTGATGTTGAATCTCATTTATGATAAAGTCTGGAAGTTAAATGCAATTAAATTTCAATACAAATTGCTAAAAACTATATTGATGAGCTTAGCATGCTTGAAAAACTTAAGTTTTAAGATTTTTAGTCAACCATAAATGTAAACATCTCCTTTGATTCAATTRTCAAAAGGAAAAAGAAATCATATAATATCTCTTATAGTTGAATACATAATAAACTCTAAGTTTCTTGTGAACAGTGACTATAAGTTTCCTACTTTTGTACTGACACAAAATTTAATGTTTCACGAGGGTGAAATATTTTGTTAAATGAAGAATAAATTCATCAAATACCAAACAAGTAAAGTAATAAATAATAAAATACTGATACAGTGTGCTTATATCTTCCAGATTTGTAAGGCCTTCTTTCCTACAATGCTTCAAGCTAATCATGGTCACTTGGTTTGTATTTCAAGTATAGCTGGAATGGTCGGTACTAGTGGACTATCAGGTAAGCACTTCATTCAATTATGTTGCTTGTATTTCCAAGCTGACAGCACCCAGAATTAGGACTSTCCCAAGATAGAGAAAAGCTCTTCGTGTACTATGGAAAGATCCCAGGAAATTTTGGCTCTATTTATAGTGCCAGTATTCCCTTCTGTTGCCCCACTTATAATTGCAGCTGCAGCATCCTCTTCTTAAAAAAAAAAAAAAGAAGAAAAAGAAGAATATGGTTAATGGTTCATTGGTCTTCTTGAGTTAAAAGAATTTAAAGTGATTTTAGCCAGACATGTGATGGCACATGCCTGTAATCCTAGTGACTCAGGAGGATCACAAATTCAAAGCCAGCTCAACAACTTAGCAAGACCCTGTCTCAAAATAAAAAGGGCTAGAGGTATGGCTCAGTGCCCCTGGGTTTAGTCTCTGGTACTGAAAGAAAGAATTTAAATTTTATTGGGCAGATAAGACTAGAGAGTTTGACCACATGACTTTAACAGTGATGTTCTGTCCTCAAGCACAAGTCAGACAAAGGAGAAGGAGTTTTATTTTAAAAATTAAAATAATAACAATAATTCCACAAATTAACTTGTCAACTCTCTTACTAATGATAACTCCTCACTTTGTTTCAGATTATTCTGCAAGTAAATTCGCAGCCTTTGGCTTTGCCGAGTCTCTCTTCCTTGAACATAGTATGTCAAGGAAAACTAACATTAAATTCACCTTAGTTTGTCCCTATTTTATCAAAACTGGAATGTTTGAGGGCTGCACAACCAAGTAAGTAGACTCTTATAATATCTTTGCTCTTATAATAATCTTCTAATGTATRTCAGTTATCATCTGGTCATTTGAAGTTTTGACAGGATGATTATATGGACAGGAAAAGAAAAGATACAGTCTGAGTGGCTAATGTAAGAAAAAATTTCAATACATATGAAATTGATAAATTTATTTTAATTTAAATATAATAATATATTTATGAATTTTATGGGATCTTAAAAACTTATTCTGAAATGCTAATCAGGATATTAAAGCATAACAGAGATATTGGTAATGAGAACTTATTAAAATATTTAACATTATAGTGTTCACGTGATAATTTCTTTCCTAAAAAGAATATTAAAATGTAAGTAAGTATTCCTAAACAAAATGTTTTGTAAGATGTATTAATATACATGGGGGGAAGTGTTGCAGAGTGGTATTTCAGTATAAAAGATATATTTATCTAAAATAATCCAAAATAGAATATAATGAAATAATAGAGCTTTAACACAATGTACAAGTATAGTACATTGAAAAGTTTACACTTAAAATGAGAACTAGTATAGTTATTATAATTGTTAGAAAAGGAACTAACAAATCCAAATGACATGCATCAGTTATATTTGTAGGAATGAGAAACAACCAACAAAAATCCTAGCTAAAAGAAAATTGAGCCTATTTAGTATCTAGTGAAGCTATAAAATTAAATAGAAGGTTGGAAAACARGTGGTAAAGTTAGGGGGCAGAGCTGAATCTGAACCCAAGGTAACTTGCTCTTGAGTTTTCTATTAATCACTTTGCAATCTCTCCTCCTTAGATGTCTTTGGGATTCTAAAGGATGTTTAAAATTCATTAAGTGAAAGAAGCAAGGAATGGAGTATTTTATAGATTTATAAAATTTGTGTACACATACATATAATTATTGATTGTGTCTGGCATACATTTGGATGTATAATACACATGTGCTTACAAGAATACACATATTCATGCAAGCTTGTAAATGCATGGAATATTTTTGGAAACCTACCCAAGAAATTCATAACAGTGCTTCTCTCCAAAGGAAATAGGGATCTTGGATAAAAGGGAAAGTTGCTTTTCACTGCCTTTTTATTACTTGAATTTTTGTTAAATGTGTGATGCTTGTAAATAAATTAAAAATTAGTTCTTAGGGCTGGGACCTTTGCTCAGTGGTAGAGCGTCCACCTTGCACATGTGAGGCACTGGGTTCAATACTCAGCACCAAATAAAAATAAATAAAGATACTGTGTCCAACTACAACTAAAAAAATATTTTTAAAAAAAACTAGTTCTTACTTAAAAAAAAGAAAAAAAGAAGAAGACAGGTAGTAATGAGTCAACAGAATACAAAGAGCAAAACTTTCTACCAAAGAGTCATCTATTAAGCTGGTCAATATTAGCAAAGATAAACATTTAAAATTTCTGGAGATTGATCAAAGGACATGGCATGAATTGAGAAGCATTTATTCAACAAAAATCTATAGAAGCTCAGTAAGAACACTGGAGGTCATGACACTTGGGGTTAAAGACTACACTTGTGCCTGTAGGATAGCTGTTTCAATGGACTTGGCCACCAAGTGGCTATTTTCACCTTTCCTCAGCTCCCCAGAGCAGAAGAGCTACACTGTGTAGTTTGGCAACAGGYGAGCGTTGGTTTATCTCACATTCAACGGTTCCATGCAGTAGAAGATCCATATTAAGTGAATAACCTCAGTCACACAGGGTTGGTCCTTTCACCTCCCCACCCCCCTCAGTAGGTACAGAATATCTGGAGATGGGCTGTTGGTGAAGAGAGCAGTTCATATTTCTAAAAGAGCTCTTTGTTGTAAGAGAACTGCTCTAGTAAGCTCAGCAGTCAAGTTTCAGTTCCCATCTTCCCAAGCTTCTTAATACAGAAGCAATTTCAGGTAGGTTTACCAAAAAGTTAATATTAGCTGATATTATTGTGGAACATCTATAATGAATGATAGCAGCATCTGGATARCACCACTACTTCCTGCCAATTTCCTCCAACTTTCATATCCTGATTGATACAGACAATTTGTGTGATGTAATTGATGAGGAGTGATCACTCTTGCTCCATAACATAGAGGTTCCACCAGGTGTAAGTCAAAGCAAATCTCAAAGACAGTCATCTCTCTGCCCTTGCTACAAGATCTGACTTTAGTTAGATAACATCATTAATTATAACATTGTCAAGAAAGGTAATTGTTTAGTTAGCAAATTGTGGAGCTGGATGTGATATAAGAAGAAGCAAACCAGGTTAATTAGGAGATCAGCAAAAGAGACAGTAAAAACTTGCTGTTCAAATCTATAGTCATCCCTGAAAACTATGAAAACTCTGTGCATGACCAAGACTATATCTCTAAGGGATGACATAAAAGCTACACATTGACAGTAGGAGGGGTAGACAGACTTCCCTGGATTAGTTCAGTAAAACTACTAAATACACAAAGAAGCAAACAACCATGAGGACAATCCCCATGAGAAAGTATTATTCAGAGTTGCTAAAATATATTTTCTGAGATGTCCACTTTTTAAGAAAAAAAATCATAAGATATACAAAGAAACAGGGAAGTATGACCCATACATGGGAAAAACATGGGCAATAAAAATTTATTGTGAAGGGAGCCCATATATTGCACTCATCAAACTTCAAAGAGCTATTATAAATACATTCAAAGATCTAAAGGAGTCCATATTTAAAAATGAAAGGAAGACATGATGAAAATGTCTTTCAAATATCAATGATAGGAAGTAAAAAGAAAAAACCACTGTAAATTTAGGAGTGGAAAAAAATAACCATAAGAAAAGATTCACTAGAGAAACTCAACAGATTTGGATGGCTGAAGAAAGAATGAGTGAACTTAAATTTATATGAATAAAAGAAAGAGAAAACAAAATAAAAACTACAAAGCCTCAGGGAAATTTTGGGACACTGTTAAATACATAAACATGTACAAGATGAGAATAAGAGAAACAGAAGATAAAATATAAGAAGCAGAAAGAATATTTAAAGAAACAATGTCTGAAAACCTCCTAAACCTGATAAAAAAAAATAATAATTTATCCTGGGGTGCTGGCAGCTGGAAGTTTGCTGGCAGCAAACTTTATACTGATGATGTCATCGGTGGTACAATTTTTCCAAAAGGAGCCATCAATTGGCTTGGTGTATCTTCCTCCCTTCTGCTTGTCATGGTCGTTCAGCTAAAATTTGGGGGCCAACAGAGGTGAGGCAAAGAACCTCACCCCACCCCCCGCTGATACAAAGACCTCTCCACAGGCGTGGCTGTATACTGGACCRGKAAGATCCAATTGCAATGGTACCAACCTAAGACAGGAGGCTGACGCCTTGAGGTCAGCTCATCCGATGACGGGTAAGGACCATATGTACTATTGGACAACCTAAGGCAGGCACGGTCCCTAAGCCACATGCTTGTTGTTTAAACAGAGAGGGGGAGATGTTGAGAGCCACAGCCGAAGGGGCTCCAGCAAACTTCCAGCTGCCAGCAAACTTCCAGCTGCAAGCTGATGATTGGCTCACAGCGGCCCCAGCAACTTCTAGCTGCCAACTGATTGGCTCCTCTGCGGTGATGCTCATTGGGCTGTTTCCCTGCCCTTTCAGACCACGGAGCTGCTCATTGGGGGACTTTTTTGGCTCCGCCCATGCGACCCAGCCAATCGGCCTCAAGAGCAGGAGGAGTGGGGGAGGTGGAGAGGCTTGTGGGAAGCCGGTGGTGGCAGTTGGGCTCTGAAGGTTTTCCTGAGGAGCTGTTTTGTTTGGCGTGTGTGGTTCTAAAAATAAAGTTCGTTTCTTTTAACAAGTGGCTCCTGAATTGTGCCCAGCCAGACTTCGGCACTGGGGAGTGATATTAACCAAATTATCATTTAATACTGTGTGCATATTCAAATATGTAACAAGAAATCGCATGAATATGTACAATTATTTTTAAAAAAATCAGTGAACTTCAAGTATGATAAACTCCAAACACATCATAATCAAACTGTTGAAAGACAAATCATCACCATCATCATCATCATCATCATCATCATTTTGCAAGAAGCAAAAGGGAAAAAAAAGTCTCATCATATGCAATGGAGTCCAAATGTATTAACAGATGACTTCCTTACAGAAACAATGGAAACCAAGAGGCTGTGGGATGATATATTTGAAGTGATGAAAGAAAAATTTTCAACCAAGAATCTTCTATCTGGCAAATTCATATTTCAAAAATGAAGCCAAAAATGAAAGTGAATCAAAACAGAGAATTCACTGCTATACCCAACTTTTCAAGAAATATTAAAGGAAATTCTTCAGAATGAAAGCAAGTGAAACCAGAGAAAAATCTGAAATCACATGAAAAAAAAAATAGAAGTATTTGTAATAGCAATTAAATAGGTTGTTTTTAAAAGGTGGTACAAAAGTGTATTTACTCTCCTTTCTTAAATTAATTGATCATAAATATGATTGTTTAAATATGAACATAATAATATTACTGGACCTTTAATATATAGAAATGCTATTTTTTTATATTAAGAGCACAAATGAGATGCATGGAAATAAAGCTGTGCTGGACTAAGGAAATGACAATAGACACTAACTCAAATTCACCGGAAGAGAGGAAAAGGACCAGAAGGTTCAGAAGTATATATTATATAGTTTCTTCTAAACTTCTTCTAAACTTCCTTTACTTTCTCAGCTTCTATCAAATATAAAACTTAAGAAGCGATATCTGAAACAATGTATTATCAGGCTTATGGCATATATTGACATAATATATAATAATATAGCATCGTAGTAGAAAAACTAACATCTATATAGAAATAAAATTAAGATACATATTATATACCCTAGAAAGACCTCTAAGAAAATAACTTAAAACATATAGTTTTTAAAGGGATATTCCCGTGATCTAAAGGGCACAGAACCACTGGGCATTRTAGTGCATACCTGTAATCCCAGCTACTTAAGAGGCTGAGGCAGAAGGATCACAAGTTCAAAATCAGYCTCAGCAACTTAGCAAGGCCCTAAGCAACATGGTGAGACCCTGTCTCAAAATAAAAAGTATAAGGGCTCAACTTTTAGGCACCCCTGAGTTCAATCCCCAGTACCAAAAGTAAATAAATAAACAAAAATTCAAATAAGCACAGAACACAATAAATTAAGCATATCTAATGGACATCTATATGCTACTCTACAAGAACATGGTACATGTTCTTCTCAAGTTCATATAGAACATTTTCCAGGATAGGCCATCAGTAAGCTTGAAAGGAATGAAGTCGAAGAACATTCTCCAACTAAAATGGAATGAAGTTAAAAATCAAAAGCAGAAGAATATTTGGGAAATTTACAAAGATGTAGAAATACAACATAAAAAATTTATGAGATACAATTAAAGCAGAGAGAAATTCATGGCTATAAATGACATTAAAAAAGAAAAAAGATACGAAATAAATAAATAATCTTCCACCTTAAGAGACTGCATACTAAATCCAAAGTGAGCAGAAATAATGAATAGTGTAGCAGAAATAAACTAAATGGGAAATGGAAAACAGAAAAATCAATGAAACCRAAACCTGATTCTTTGAAATAATCAATAAAATTAACAAAAGTTTAGGGCTGAGGTTGTGTCTCAGTGGTAGAGTGCTTGCCYAGCATGAGGAACTGGGTTYGATCCCCAGCACCACATAAAAAACTAAATAAACAAAATAAAGGTATTGTGTCCATATACAACCAAAAATAAAAAAATAAAAACTTTAGCTAGACTGTCCAAGAAAGAAATTAGAAAAAACTGAAACTACTAAAAATTTTTTTTAAAAGAGTAAAAGAGAAGACATGACTACTGTCATTACAGAAAGAGAAAGTATCATAAGGGAATACATGCAAACCAACTAGATATCGTAAATGAAATGGAAATATTCCTAAGGAGACACAAGCAAACAAAACTGACTCAAGACAGGTAAACAATGCATAGACACCAGGTGTGGTAGTACACCCAGTGCTGGGGAGGCTTCGCKAGTTCAAAGGCAGCCTCAGCAAAAACAAGGTTCTAAGCAACTCAGCGAGACACTGTCTCTAAATAAAATACAAAATAGGGCTGGGGATGTGGCTCAGTGGTCGAGCGCCCCTGAGATAAATCCCTGGTACAAAAAAAAAAAATTCAAATACAGTCTATCCATGCAATAAAATAAATAAATGTATTGCCAAAATTCAGCAAAAAAATGAATGCATCCTGTGAGAAGTACTTGATCCCACAGAATTTATAAGAAAAAGTAGCCCATACCTTATTATTATCTATAAATCATGTACTTGACAGTCTTTATATCTATAAGACTTAGAATATTATATATATATATATACATATACATATATATAATGTAAGTGCATATATAGTTTATACATGTGTAAATACAGCATATATTTTTAAATTATTTTCCTAAAATTATTGCTAGAATAACAATATTAGTAAGAATTGATAATAATAAGTCATAAAGTGCTATTTATAATTAGATTGTCAAAGTCAGAAAGAATGTGACCAGCCAGGATAAGGTAGTACCTTGATGTTAACTGATGACTCTTATGAACTCAGGGTTCCTAGGCACAAAAAAAGATAAATACAAAATGTTTAGAAAAAGAAAAGTTAAAAATAATGAAATGGTAGACAATTGGGGTAAAATGACCTAGATGTTATAGTTTTTTAAAAATGTTAGAAACCTTTATGCTCAAGTTCTAAGAAACTTTTAGGAGAATAATGTAATAAAGACTGCCAACACTCAATTATGGAAAATTAATCAGATTCCAAGAATCAGCTGAGATAAACAAAATTTCTCTAACGAGTATGGTTCTAATAATTGAAAGAGTACATAAAAGTATAAAATGACAAGGTATTACTTTGTAGGATCTTTATTTATATTCTCATACTTTTCAACTCCTATTGGATCATATTTATTTCTGTTGAATGCTTAAGAATGGTCGACCTAAAACGATACATTACACATGCTCAAGATWCTTTTTTGGTAAAATTAAATTTACTATTTTATTACTTAATAGTGCACAATTATTTGATGTTTGGGAAGAAGAAAGAGGAAGAAAGATACAAAGAAATCTTAAAACAATTGTTTTTATTTGTTCAGATCATCACAACACAGAAAATAAACAAAGGCAAGAAGTTCACTAGAGGAAATTAAATGTGTTAGCACTGTTCCTAATATTGGCCTGGAGAGAAAACACAAAGCAATCCCTAATATTTACTCTTTTTTTGACTATTTAAAGCAACCTATTCTAATCCCATGTCTGAAATTTAATAATTGATGCTCATAATGACTATAAAAAAATACCACTCTAATGACATAACTTTTGTTATTGTTATTCCAGGTATCCATTTCTATTACCTCTACTGGAGCAGGAGTATGTGGCCCAAAAAATTTTCAATGCTATTTTAGAGGAACAAGTTTACCTCCTAATTCCCAAATTTGCATACTTTGCAATTGTCCTTAAGCAGTAAGTTAATAATGATCTCAATATCCCTTTGGTTGTTTGTAAACAAATTGTTCAAGCATTGCTACTTCTTTGAGAAACTTCACATTTTTCAAAAGATGAGAGGAAGAACTTTAATAGCACAAGGACAATTTATTGGATTCTTGCTAGCTGTGTCTTGATTACTTCAGACACAAAATTTAACCACTGTTTAGGCCTTGCAGAGCATATATTTTTTGTTTGTTTTTTGTTTGTTTGTTTCAGTTCAGAAACAAATAGCATCTGAATTATTTGGGAGGTTTTGCATTTCTGTTTTTGTTTTGTGCATTTCTGTTTTCAACCAATTATTTGAGTAGAGTTCTGTTTCAAAAAGAAAGGTTAAAATCCTGAATGTTCTGCTAGGAAGATATTAAAAGTATTTGAAAAATTCCTCATTTATTTTAGTAAAACAGTTTCTACAACTTCCTACAAGGTCAGTCCAGTAAACTCTGGGATATTCATGGATGATTCCAACCCACGCTTACATCTAACATAATGGAGGCTTATGTGCCAGTTACTGCACTGACAGTTTTGCATGAATTTTATCATTTTTAGGGAATCCAAAGTTTAAAGAAAGTAATTTTGCATGATTAAACAGCTAATGTGTGCTAGAGTAGTTTTAAACCAGTTTCCCAACAGATTACAAAGCTTTTCTATCAGGTTGCACTCCTCCCCTGCTATAAGTAAAGATTGCTTCCCATCCATCCATAAGATGCCTCAGACCAGAAGTCTTTGAGAGTTCAGATTTTTTCAGATTTTGGAATATTTGCATATACATAATGAGATATCCTGGAGATAGCACCTAAGTCTAAACATGAAATTTATTTGTTTCATATACACCTTAAACAAATAGCAGAAGGCAATTTTGTACAATAGTTTTACTGTGTCTGCATTTGATCATGACCTGTCAGATAAGGTATAGTATTTTCCATTTGTGGTATCATGTGGGTGCTCAAAAAGCTTTGGATTTTGAAGCATTTGGGATTATATTGTTGGCAAATACCATACTTTATTTCCTACTTATACACATTCCACATATTTCCTATTCATCCTTAGCTTGCCCACTTGGTTAGGCAGGTCAAGGTCCTGCACTGTATGATCCCCTGATGCTTTTCCCTTCCTCTTGTAGCATTCATCATCACACTGTAGTCGTTGGCCAGCTTACAGTCTCCCTGAGGACAAAACACATTTTCTGAATTGCTTCCCATTTGTGCTCCTGCCTAGGACAGCACCTRACATGTAATAAGCATCCAAAAATATTTGCTGAGTCAAGTTGAGAACCAATGGGCTGCTGTAAACAAAAGTGATCTGAAGATACAGGTTCTATCATCAAAAAGCTCAGGAGCACATTGGAATCACCTGGGCCCCATTTGATACTATAGATCCCTGGATGCCAATCCCCAGATATTCTGCTTAATTTGTCTGGTTTTCTTTCTAATTTTAACTACTGTTTACTAGTCTAGTAAATAAGTATTTATAACAGTAAGTCCAGGGCCATTTGATCTTTCAAAAAAACCAATGAGTGTGATATATGAATTAATYGGTACTTTTTAAAACTAAAGGGATGATTCCAAGGTGCAGCCCAGATGGACAACATTGAGGGTATTGATGGCCCTCAATTAATTGTGACAGCAACACTTCTCTGTCCATCTCTCCCATTAAGTGACAGTTGCACAACATAGATCATGACATTGCAAACTTTGTGGAATTTTCACTTAATATTTGCAGTATAGTCTCTTCAACTACTGAAAGGATTGTAAAAGGTCACAACTTTTTTCTATGTTTTTCCTCTAGTCTAATATCTCCAAAAATGTTGATCGTCCTTGGGGAGTACCTTGGAGCAGATACTTGCATGGATTCTTTCAAAGGGAGAATGGAAGCAAATAAACCTCAGGAAGAAGCGGAGAGAAAATGCCAGTAATTAAGCTTCAAATGAATCAAATAAAAAGTGTTAAAATGCTAKACTATTTGGAATTCCTCCTAATGCTTCAAGTGTCCAGGCTACTAAGAATCACTGAAGCTTTCAAAAGTGCCACCCTTATTTCCAGGGCACAATTGACACACTGATATTTTTCTAAGTGTTTAAGTTATCTATCTGGTTTTTCCTATCATTTTTTAGTCTGGTAAGTATGGACATCGTCATAGCCTTTTCAATAGACTCTGAGCATATAGTTATAAAACATATTAATGCAATTGGCCTCTAATTTAATTTGAAAATAGAAATATAAGATACTTTTAGGAGGCAGGTGGGATGGTGTATGTCTGTAATCCCAGTTACTTGGGAGTCTAAGGCAAGAGGATTACAAGTTGGAATTCAGTCTCTGCATGAAAAATAAAAAAAACAGGCTCAGTGGTAGAGTGCCCCTCTCCAATCTCCAATACAGAAAAAGAAAGAAAGAAAGAAAGAAGAAAGAAAGAAAGAAAGAAAGAAAGAAAGAAAGAAAGAAAGAAAGAAAGAAAGAAAGAAAGAAAGAGAGGGAAAAAGGAATGCATTTAAGAAAAAAAAAGATAATTTTAAGTAATGACCTCATAAATCAGTTTTACTGCTGATAATTTTCAACATCAGATTTAAAGACACATATTTTGTAATTAAGAAAAATAGTGTTTACTTCGAAAAGTGAAGGCTTATTTATATTGCTTATTAACCCTTCTGTTAGATGATCACATGAAGGCCTTAGTGGGATCAAACCTGCTCATTGGATAAAATAAATCTGTAACTCACCAATTCTATTTGCATCCCAATGTGTCAAACAATTCCTAGCTTTCTTTATTCTATTAGGAAAAAAAAGTACACATCAGATTTCTATTAATTACTGGTTTGTGAGCAAAACTTATTTTTATAATAAACTCAAAGAAATGTTGTTTCAAGTCATTTATATGGGAATACACAAATTTTTAAATATTTGAAGTCGTGAGAATGTGTACCTCCCATGCTGCCATTTCATTAACATTCCTACCATTGATACCTTCCCAGTAGGGRTAGTGGTTGAGCTGTGATTACTAAACATCAATCTAATTTTGCCTCTGTTAGGTTCAAGAGCTAATGAGTAATGGTAAAACCAAAAATTGAAAATTCAAGAACATCACAGGATACATCCTTTTAACCAAAGAGTGAGTACATAAGATCAATCCTTTTGCTGAGGACATACAAAGACAACATAGTTTAACTTGAAAAAGGAAAGAGAGAAATATTGAACGAATAAAAGAATGAAACATTCTAAACAAGTAGTATTTTTAAGGAAATGAAACTTTAATTGCTTCATTAGTAAATTTTAGAAACACTAAAATTTTGACACCTCTCTGCCTTCAAAAATAAGTATTCGAAGCACTTTCTACATTTTCCTTAATGTCTCAGGAGCATTAATATATTTTTGTCTAACAAATATCTTTCAAGAGGTCATGTATCTCTAAATAAACTGGTCCACAACCTATTAGCTTTCACGTCACTCAGTGAATAATATATCCTACTGCTTCTAAGGTTGGATCTGCTTTACATTTGATTGTCTATCCTAAAGAAAAGTTTTTCTGTGGGGGGAAGAGAAATACTAGGGACTGAACCCAGGGTTGCTTAATCACTGATCTGCATCTTCTGCCATTTTTATTTTGAGACAGGGTCTTGCTAGGTTGCTTAGAGTCTAACTAAACTGCTGAGACTAAGCCTCAAATTGCTATCCTTCTGCCTCAGCCTCCCAAGTCACCAAGATCCCTTCGCTCAACACATATATATTAGGTACCTACTATCTGTGGTGCTAGAAATAGAGGGGTGAATAATGCAATCACTGAATGAAGTACAAGAACTTTCTGATTGCTGTTTGGCACACAGGAACTTTTGGTTTTCTGGTTAATATTTTTGGAAATCTGACCTCTCATCCACTAGGTATACATTCTGTAGAAACAGCACAGTCTGATCCTCTGTTGCCTTTTATTTGTATTTACATAGTGTGGGGAAAGCTAACAAAATCTTATTCCTTTTTGCATGAGAATTCTCTCCTAACTTTCTAGTTCTGTTGCCCTGGCAACCCAGTAAAGCATCTTATGTCAAATATGTTTCTAAGCAACCCTGCTTATGGTATAAGGGATCGCTGAAGAGTTATAAATGAACAATAAATACCCAGTGGAGAGGAGTAATGTACTCTGGGCTTCCCTGGGCTAGGGGGTTCTGGGCAATGGGGACTTGGAGGCTGTGCCCATGGCGTTGTTGACTCTGTGAGGCATGAAAGCAGGCACCACATTTGCCCTGTACCAAAACTAGCATTTGAAGAAACAATGTTCCTGGACCTTTGTGTTGACTGCTGCACGGACTGCTCCAGTCTTACTCCCAGTGTAGGGCTATGAACACCTGCCACTATGCACTGGTGTGGTGGCTTCTTCTCCCTGCCTCTGTGCCTCCTCTTATCTTGAGTCTGAACATTGAGTTGAACATCTGAAGTCTCCTGGTGGCATTGTGTTTTTTTCTCCCTATTTCAGTATCCTTGAAACTTTGGAATGGTTTCTCTAGGTATCAGTGGAGCTCTGGATCCAGGAAACTGCCCCATAACAAAATCTGAGGACACTCAAGTTCCTTAGATAAAACAACAACAGAGCATTTGCATATAACCTACGTACAATCTCTCATATGCTTTAAATCCTCTCCAGATGACATATAATACCTAGTACAAGGCCAACACATCACTGCRTTTGTGTGGATTCAGCTTAATACTCCATGTGCGATAAACTGAACTTTTGGCTTTTTGTGCCTTTCTGTAATTTTTTTCCTGAATATTTTCAACCMAAGGTTGGTTGCCTGTGAACCTGTGAATATAGAGGGCCAACTGTACATAGTATCCATCTGTGTAATTGGTCTCAAATATTCGTATACAGTCATGAAATCTATCCAACAAAAGCAACAACATTGAATTGCCTGGATCTGAAATATGGCCACTTTTGTCACTTCCTTCCACCAAATTCTTAAAAAGTAGCAGACATTATTACCGTATGTACATATATGCATGACCAATGGGATTCTACAACTAATGAACAATCAGAAAAATGAGAAATTATACCCTATTTGTGTATGATATATCAAAGTKCACAATGCATTGGTCATGTAAAACTAATTAAAACAAATAAAAAACTAATTTTAAAAAAATAGCTGGTTACAACAAGACTTTCCTGTGCAGCCCCCGCCTCACRAACACTTTCCACTTGATGGATGTTAGCTTGGAGAAGTTCAGCTTCACTGGGGAATGTCAGTCTTTGAAAACGAAGATGCATTTTTGCAACAGAACAACATTATAATTGGTAATTACCCTTATCCTACAAWAGTCTTCCTAGTCCAAAGCAATAAAAATAGTTCAAAATGTGAARAATTCAAATATGGGAGATGCTATTTGATAATGAATTGGTCTTTTAAAATAAAAAAAAAATCTTAGTAGCTGATGAAATTGAAGTTGGTGATGACTGGGACAACTAGAATCTCCCAGTGGCATTGAAAAAAATAAGAGCCCCTTCTTTGGCCTGAGTTCATTCATAAAAACAAGCCTTTTCTTTTCTTTAATWCTAAGAAAAAGATAGATATTGGCTTCACATAAGAAGGAGCTTTCTAATAATACCAGGTGATCAAGATTAAAATGACTACTCTGAGTGTTAATAGGGTTTTTCCCTACTAAAAAAAAATAAAGGAAAGTTAGTGGCTAAACTATCTGGGTCCTTTCTAGTCCTGAAGATCTCTGAGAGTGACAGAATTACTTGAGATTTATTCTTGCAATAAATCTCTATTGAGGACCCAAGAGCAAAGCATAAATATTTTTGAAATGATCAAATACACTTTTGACTCACCGACAAAATTCAGTAAGAGAAAAGGAGAAGAGGAGAGAGTCTGAGGGTAACTTTAACTTTGCAGAATTTGGAAGAAAAACAATGAACGTGGAGAAAACAAAGAAAATGGGAGATASCTTTCCTTAGAAGAATGACACCTTAGGATGAAACATGCTTTTCCGGGGAGGGATTTTMGAAATTCCTTGGAATGAGCCCTCCCAGAACCAAGAAGCAGAACTGAGCATGGAAGGGGTCCTTATCTCACTCTGACCTTTGGTTTACTCAGGTGTGTGAACTTAGAGCTAGACCTGAATTGTTTAGAACATCAGAAGGGTTTTGAGAAGACTTGGAGAAAGAAAATTGTGATGAGCTAGCTAGAGAGAAGAGAAGTTTTCAAGGGGAGGACGAACTATAAAATGGGGAGGTTACTGTGTTTCTGCTGTGTCTTACGTATATGGATTATCACTGCCATCTGTTCATGAATGTTGCAGTTAGTGCCCTGGGGAGATGGATGTGTTTGGAGTGATTCAATTAACGGAAAGTACTATATACAGTTTTCTCTCAATATGAAGAAAAAATCCTTCCAGGAGGCACCACAGAGTCAGAAACAGGAGATGGGTTCCTTGGGCTCTGTGGTCCCCAGCAGCTTCAGGGGCACCCCAGTGAAAGAGCAGTCTGAGAGTCACMGAGAATGGCCCTGCAAAAGGCAGGACATAGGCAAAGAGCCCCGTGCAAAACAATAACCGTGGGGCCCTCTGCTCAAAAAGCAGAACAAAGAACYGGAAAACCACTTAAATAGAAAGCTTTTTCTTTAAGATGTATTTCTGATCAATGATTTCAAAACATAMATTTTAGTACATCTAGAGCTGATGTGTCTCATGGAACAWTTTTTTCTAAAAAGATTTAACTTCTTCTACATATCAATTGCATATAAGACTCATTTTAAATGTGAATTCATACAATGGCATTTTAATGCCTCCTCTGACTTTTCCTCTAATTTGTGGATGTTGTACAGAGAACCAAAAGTGGCTTCATGATTTGTATGTAATTAACATGCCCGCTTATGCATTTTTGTCACTGTATCTTCAATTATAAGGGAAAATTTTAAAATTGTCTTCCACACTA